TGCACAAACACAGTACTTGGTGACATTCCTGCCTCGCCACCTGCCCTCCTCCAGCCCAGGGCTGCTGAATACAAGCAACTCACCCTCCGTGGTTTTGCACATTCAAGGGTGTCCTTTTTAAGCTACAATGCATAGGCTACTATTGTGTCAGTAGACTGCTTTTCTTCCATTTTGGCCTGTGTTCCTCTTAGGAGGCAGCTCCTACCTACTGCAAATCCTTCCGTCTGGCCAAAGTGCTCTGCTCAGCCATTATTTATTCATAATAATGCTATGTGTATTCTTGGGTACTGAATTGAATGGGCAACTGCTTTTAATTTTTTCTTCTTTCTATACATTAGGAAAAGTAATGTTCTTTGTTTGTTTTACTTGACTGGCTCTTTAAGGAAGGGAGGGAGGGACTTTGGCTTGACTTGGTGCCACTTAAGAAAATTTCACAGTGGTCCAGAACTAATTTCATCAGGAAACATTCTGAGCTTCAGTTAAAATGTAAAATGCTTTTCCTTAGCCCCAGGATAAAATGAAATTTCATTTGCTTTTACTTTTCTGCAATAATGCCAATAAGGAGATATTGCCAGGGGCACAAGGGAAGCCAATTCTAGAGCTGAACAAATCGATGGGAAATCTACTTGCCAAATCCTGAACATACCCACTGAATGAGTGTTAAGAACACACACACACACACACACACACACGCCCCCTACTGAACTATCCAGGGTAAGGATAAGATTTCCCTAAAATAACTTGATGTTTTACTCTGCTGAGATTCTCACATTCTCAAACTCCTCACACACACAGTGAGCACACTCAGTGTGAACTGCAACCACATCGCATCTAGACTAATAATCACAGATAGCATACACTGAGTGTTAGCATTATTGAATGATGACTATGTGCCTGACTACGTGCTAAGCTCTTTAATCCTAGAAGCTGCTTCCATTTTGATCCTCATTTTTCAGACGAGGAAACTGAGGCACGAGAGAGGGTAAGTCAATTGCCCGAGGTCCAACAGCCGATGAATGGCTGTTTGGTTCTAGAACCCATTCTTCTTGCCTGTATGCTGTACTACTTCTTGCTATATATACCCAAACCAAAGATAGGTTTCCAGAAAATGCTAGACAAGACTCTAAACCACGATGATGATGATGATGATGATGATAATTATTGTAGCCACTTATTAGTATGAGTCTTTAACTGTATACTCATGGACCATGGTAGGCTTTTTACACACCTTACCTCATCTAATCTTCATAATCTAGGGACTCAGATTTTATATCTATCCTTATTTTATGGTGAAACTGAAGTTCAGAGAGCTCAAGTAATTTACTGAAGGTCACAGAGCTTGTTAGTTAGTGGCTGACTTGGGGTTCAAACAAGTCTATAGTTGGTGCTCATCTCATTGTCTGGCTTCCACACTCACATGAGTTCCTGATTTGGTAAGCAAACAGCCCTAGAATGTTATTTTCAGCACTGTGATAGTCATGATAAATTTCATGATCGCCAATCACCAATAGGGAACTTGCTCCTTCAGGATGAAGTTGGGCATGATATAATTTTAAAATACTATAACATTCCTGGGTAAGATATGTGTTTTGTGACTTTAGAATGCAGAATTTCTGTTAGAATTAATCACTCTTTGGAATAATGTCTGACTTCTGTATTAACTGCAAATGAATGCCAGAGTCAGAAAGGTAAGAGAATGAACTGATAACTACTGTTTTTTTAAAAAAGCAGGGGCACCGGGGTGGGTGGCTCAGTCAGTTAAGTGTCTGACTCTTGATTTCAGCTCAAGCCATGATCTCACAATTCGTGAGTTTGAGCCCTGAGTTGGGCTCTGCGCTGACAGTGTGGAGCCTGCTTGGGATTCTCTCTCTCCCATTCTCTCTCTCTCTCTGCCCCTCCCTTGTTTGCATGCTCTGTCTCTCAAAATAAATAAACTTAAAAAATTAAGATAAATAAATGAAAGAACAGGAAATAAAAGACCATAAATAGATGGAGATTTCCCTTCCCTTTAAATGCACTGAAATCTAGTAAATAGAAACAATCAGATTCCAAGACAAGGAAACCAAGCTGCAAGTCCCAGGGAGTGGGCTTTCTTCTTTTTGGGATTGGGACATGTCTCCCTGTGTGGGGAGGGTGCCCACCCCGCTGAGTGGGAAGACCTGGAATCTAGAATCGCCACTGGCACAGGCCTCCTCACAGGGGCTACCTTAGAGCTTTGAGGATGAGGCTCTAGTTTAGGGAAGTTAAGTCATTGATTTCTCCCAGGTCCAAAATGAGAAGAAAGGGGAGCTTAAACCGTATCTCAGGCAGATCCGAATTCAGTGAGGGCTCTTTCCTGGCTAATCCTCTCTTGGCTTCCAGGTAGCCAAGAGATTCTTAGCAGCGGAGAGCAAGAATCAGGGTATTTTGTGCCACCTCGACAGCCCGACCTCCCCAAAGTATCAGTGGCATAAAACATACTTTTCAAACATAGGTTTAGAGTTTAATGTTATTTCTTCTGGGCAAACTTTCCAATGTAAAAAATAGTTGATGTCAAGAACTCAAATGAAAGAATCTATAAATATATTAAGAGTTTTCTCTTTGTACCTTTTCTGGGAAAGCTCTGTGGAGATTTTTAAGGGATTGAAAATGGGCTGGATAAAGTAATTCTAGTTTACACGGCTTTTTGAGCAAGGCTAATTGTATTAACCTGATTCCAACATGATCTTACTTTTTTGTACCACATTAATACAAGCAAAAGGAGAGTGCGTGTGTGCACACACACACACCCCAAATAATTTTTGTCCTCCTTTTTTGGTGCCATCTGGCCACCTCATAAGGCTCACATGAGTATCTTTGTATCAAGAAGTGCAGGGCATATGCTTTTTTTTCTGGGAAGATGATTGTGTTTATATTACAAAGATTAAAAAAAAAAAAAACCCACAGCACTACGGGAACATGGCCAATTCATCTACTTTGGAAATGGGAGTAGCTTGGTCGTCTCTGGCACATGGTACCTTTGGGCATGTTTCTAAAACTCTCAGACAAGACATCACGAGCAGGCAATATTGACTCCTCTGTGAATGTAGGTCTTTTTTTTTTCCCTTTCCCACTTTAGGAGATTTGTGGACCATATCAGATCACCTATCAGCACAGTGTCTAAAACAGAAGAATTTTAAAATAAAATCAGGCCTTCTTCTACATACGCAGAGTATGAACCAAGGTTTTAATTGAAAGCTCATTTTCCTGTGGGAACTCTCAGGCCGGGAGAGCTACCCCCCTGGGATGGAAGTCGGCAAAGGCCAAACAGAGCAAAGGCTGTAACTCTAGCCCCTAGGAAGGGGATGGATTTGTAACTGGCAAAATGATCAGCCATTAAATCACCGGAAGAATACACTTCTAATAACTCCTTCTAAGCAATAAAGCATTTTCTCCATCACAAATTCTCAAGCGGTGGGGCACAGTGGCAGATTTTACTTGGACACCGGGACAGAAAAATCAGGGGGAAATGCACATCGGTGGATATGCTTTCCATCTGGACCTCTTAAAATTTACATCTCAAGGGCTAGCTGCCTGGCAGGAATGAATTGGGGTGTTCCATTTGGGGCATAACTCTAAGAAGCAGCTTCCAGGACCGACCTGATCTGAGTGTGAGTTATAGATATTATAACCAACTTTTCCTCCACACCCAAACCCTGTCCGTTCAGAAATCTTAATAGGCTTTTGAGAGCCTCCATTTAGAGCCGGCTGCATAAAATGATCCTTTGATGAAAAGGGATTGGAACAAGGGTTAAAGCCGACATTGAAAGGTGACTGTGGAGGGCACCGTGTTCATACAACCCTCCTTTAATATGTGTGGTGTGCACCTGTGATAAGATGATTCATTACCTGGGGCTGCTCTTTGACAAGCTCCATCGTTCAGCCCTCGGGGTTCTGACGGGACAATCCTGCACCCGCCCAGGAAATATAACAAGGTCAGCTTTTTTTCCCCGGGACGTAGATTGAGACGGTTTAGCTTATAATGCATCTCTGTTTACTCTTTATGTAAAATAAAAACAGGGTTCAAGACACTGCAATTCCTGTTCTCCACAGAGCAGGCCAAGCAGGGATCCGTAAAATAACTCTGGGAGGAAAAATCCTGGAGATGATGCTAGCATCTTCTACCTGTCCTCCACCCTCAGCAACGGCCACAGTTGAGGTGAAGGTGCCCTAACCACCGAGGGTCTGTGCCAAGCCTTTGAACGGAGGGTACTTCTGATGCCCTCAGCTTTAACTCCAGTTTGCTCTTCATGGAGCTTTCAGGTTTACTGGGGTCTTAAAGAGGGAGCTGCCCTCATCTGAAGCTTCGTCAGTGTCCTGGGGACCACGACGCGGGCACACGAGTGGTGTAAGGGAACCGTCACGCTGCCCATGACATGAGGAAGGTTCGATGGCCCCGGCAGACTGAAGTAAGCCTGCAGGCATACAAGAAACTCCCAGGAGCTTCCAGGAGAATCAGCAAGAGGCTTCTCCCCCCTTTCCTTTGTTTCTCTTACAGGACTGCCCGGTTCTTTCCATCAGGTCCCCATATTAGTCAGAAATTGGCTTGCTTAGGACTAGTTTAGAAATCTTAGAGCAATTAGAGAAGGAAACTTACCAGTTTCCCCCACCGTCCCAGTTTAAAAAGAATAAATACATAAGCAGAACTGAAATTTTGTTTTTAAAATTTACTTTTTTTTTTTAAAGACTGCCCCATCACGAAAAGTATTTCCTTCAGTTAAGGTCAGAACAAGAACCGTTGTACAGAAATAAAAACAAAATAAAAACGTAAGACATTCTAGGGGAAGGGGGAAAAAAAAATCTTGTTCCTAAAATATAGAAACACCTCCCAACCCTTCTCCTATTCTTGACATTGCTAGTAAACATTATTTATTTGCCTCGAATAGATGCGGTTACATATCACTGTCATGCAAAAGAAATTCATTTCCTTTCCGAGTTCCATCTGCCATAAAGATTCACTCTTGTTCCCATCTCCCACTCACCTGTCCTTGTGCATTAGTAACTAGTTGACCCGTGACCCCCTGAAGGCTGGAGAGGGCATTGCCAAAGGCCTGTGAGCTTGCTATGGAGCCCATGGCGGCTGCAGCCGCTGCAGCCTGACTTGTTAGTGGATTATTAACCAGCTGCAAAGAGAGAAAAGATCAGGGTGAACCACCAAGAGAGGCACAGCACAAGGATACAACATTCATGTGGGGGAAGAAGTTCTCACTCAACTGGCTCATGCAAAGGGCCCGGAACCCACCGGAGGGAGCCTGGGGAACATTCGCTCTGAAGCTGTGGGCTCTTGGGGTGGTGGGGTAGGGAGTGGGGGGGCGGGTGGCTGGAAAGGAGGCTGGAAAGAAAAGAGTGGAGACTGGGTTCAGGACTAGCCCCAGGAGAGAGTGAGGTGGCCCTTGGGGTTGCAGCGGGCCGTGAGAGTCTTGCCAGGTGGACGAGTGACTTTGAAGAAGTCCCTGGATTTTGTCCCCTAGCCTAAATAAAACCCCGGGGAAATGTCTCCCTTCCTTGAGGTAAGCAGACTGGTTGTGGATTAAAGTAGGTTTGGAGCAGGATTGGAGGGGAGGAACAGATGTGAAGGATTTCTGCAAATAAATTTATCATTTTTGTTTGTGAATTGCAGTTTCTTTTAGGGTCATTGGGTAAGATGGATGCCTCACTCCCTTTCTTCAAGGAAGAAGGAAACCAAAGTCAGTAGAAATAGAAACCTCCAGCCTCTGTGCTCTCAGAGGGTGAGCTTAGGGTTGAGACTTTTGGCGGGGCGGGGGGGGGGG